TTATTTCTGAGCCAACACAGAACAGTACAGAGACTGAGATTTTTTTTCTTGATGCTGTGAAATACTTCATCACCAGCCAAATGGGCACAGCTTCTTGCAATAGTCACAAGTTTCAACACAGACATTCCAATTACTCATCAGGAAGAAAAAATTCTTTGTCATGAAATGGGTGAGTCGCTGGAACAAGTAATTGAGAGACAGTGCAGAACATCCATCCTTGGAGACTTTCAACTCTCAGCTGGACAACGTCCTGATCAACCTAACTTTGAAGTTAGCCCTGCTTTGAGTAGGAGGCTGGACTCCAGTTGATACTTCTTCCAACCTGAATCTTTCCATGATTCTAATATTTCTTCCTACCGATGTGTTACTGAAATGTTTGGTGCTTCCCTCCCACCCCCACTTTGTATCTTCCCTGTGTTTTAAGGGATGGTAGAAATTGCTTGCAAGCCAAGTATTGTGCCTAGAGAGTCCCTGGGAGATAAACTGCGAAGCAGTTTTGCCAGCTGAGAGCAGTCTCCAGCACAGTGGATGTCCGATGGGGGAAATGGGATACCTAGGCGCCAGTCACAGCTCAAAACACTTGCTTTATGGTGTAAATCTATAAAGCACTCTCTCTTTAGTTTATTCCAGAGAGGGTCTCAAGGAGCTTTGATAATGCTTTACAGGTACATATCAAAAACACTTGCTGCAGAAGTTTAGGGAAAAACTGGCATGCCTTTTTTCTCCTTTTTTTAACATCAAGGGTGACAATTACTACAATAGTTTATGACTGTGCTCAACCTCATTCACAGCTTTGTGACAAAGGTATATCTAAAACAAATTCTAGGCATGGTGTTAGAGTCGTTCAGTGCATTGTACCTCATGCAAGACTCAAAATAGCCCACAATGGTCCCTCTGCTGTAGGAAAACGTGGAAATCTGAAAGGCGGCCTGGACCACACTGAAGAGGTGTGTAACTTAAAAGACTTGTACTTGGGACAGTCAGGCTGGTGCCAGCTCCTGTGCAATATGGGCAGTTTCATTCCTGACATAAACAAGGACTCCTAAGACACACTTAAAGGTCCTTTGATCCAGCCTGTGCACACAGTAACCCAATACCAGGCCAAGCACCAGGTAACACCTTCACTCTCTCCATCGTGGCATCTACAACAGTCTTTGGGAGCTATTCTAACATCCAGAGATCATTATGTACAACAGGTATTATGTACAACAGTATTTCTTCCATCCAAAGAAACGCTTCTTCCGTGTGTTCAGCAGAGACTATGAAGGGTTTAGCATGCAGCTGCCTAGCCTGCCCCGTGCTGGGAACTGCCTCGGCGCTGGGAGGGCTCCTGGCCTTAGCACCCTCACAGCTGTGGCCCCTGCTGCACTGCAGAGCGTCGGGAGGGGGGGACCGGGATCTGGACCCTCCAGCTGAAGACACTCAGAAACAGCATTGCAGTCACTGATGCATTCGCAAGTTGGCTTACTGCCAGTTATGAGGAAGAGTATGTACATGCAAGAGCTGTGCATGCAAGGCTACCTTTAAATGTATAGTCAAGACTACTAAAGGTAGCCTTGCATGTACAGCTCACTGTGCTAGAAAATTACAGAATATGCAATCAGGGAGGGGGGCTGAGACCTAACTACTTTGTCCATATCACTGCAAATACTTCACAAGTTACACAATACTCAAAGAACAGTATCCCAAACTCTGCATTTTTACTACATTGTAAGTCATTATTCACTCTCCCATACACAATTTATTTTTAACTGAATATCCCTCACTGTCATCACTGAAATATATCTGGAAAGCTTGTACAAAGTTCACCACAATCTTGATGAAAAACTATCCTCAAATCAGTTTGTTTAGATTACTGAGATTTAATACTCGTCAGGTCTAAATGGCAAGAATTAGCTGGTGCCAAGTAGGTTGACACTTTGTCATTGGGCATTAAGCTGTGCAGCTCCTTGCTCCAGGAAGCCAGAAATGCCAAGATTTTACCTGGGTTTAAAAGCACCTTGGCAAATTCTTGGGAGAAAAATCCACTGACAGTAACAGGGTACAAAGATGCTGCTATTTCTCAAGAAATTACAAGGCACTAGAAATGAGGGAAACACTCAGAGGAAGATTAGCATTATGTTTGCTCTTTTCTTGAAGCCTCCCTTAAACCTATGTTGTTGGCCACTAAAACCCAGAGTAGATGGTCATCTGACCTGGCCCAGTCTGCATTTTTAATTCTTAAGCATGAAGATCAGTGTATTGCTAATGAGAAACATTTAATGGCTGGGACAGGTGTCAGTTTTGGGACAGTCTTAGCATCATAATTAACAGGCTTTGCTACAAACACTAAAATTTAAACATGTAACTGCATTGCTTTGTAGCAGACAAACTGTAACTCAAGACAAATTGGTCCAGACTGTCACTCAGGAAGCAGTCCATGGATCCAGCCTTCTCCTCTACCTCACTTGATTGATGAAGATAGTCTTCAGACTGGTCATAGGGACTAATTTTAAGGGGTCTGCAAATGGCAATAGGAAAGAGCCAGTTTTACATTATTAGGGCTATATCAGGTATTAAAAGGTCATAGTCCTGCTGCAAATTTTTAGAAACTTGACGATTCAAAAAGCATGAAGGCTTTGCACTGCTTTCTTCTTGTAGTTGAGATAACACAAGCTCACAAACTGAACATCTCCCAGCTTAATGCTCCTACAAGGGGGCAAACTCAAGTACAGTTTCCTATTCTGCAATGTATTCAGGATCACCAGCTAATCCACATTTTATTTACTGTTACTGTTTGTTTTTTTTTTAAGGACAGGCTAGGGATGTAGGGGCAGGGGCATTGCTGTGAAATAGGCCTTCAGGTGGTAAGAGAAGCACCACTTACCTTGCTTTGTTTAAACCCCCCGTGAGCAATGGCACATGCCATCTCTCTCATGGTATATCACGGTAACCATCCAAGTGAGGCATCCTTCACCTCACCTGGTGACCATGCCGTAAGGTACCTGTACTTCAAAAAAATGCTGCTTAAATCACATCCAGGTAGTATTGCATGTCCGGAGTGGAGAGACCCAGGCACAGCACAGGATCCACAGGCTTCCTGCAGGCTGTCCCTCAGCAGCGGCATGGCATCAGGGGTCAGGCTGCAGGGGCTTATGAACATCATGGGCACACTAGGGTATTTCTCCTTGGAGAAATCATAGCAGAGTTACATTGACCTGACAAGCACAGTCTTGTTTGCACAGAAGCACTGGACCACGAAGTGCCTCACAAACACCCACACATCTATTTATTCACAGACACTTCACCGTGAAAAAAGAAATGCATGTTAACAACAGTGGATCTTGACTAGCTTGTAGGCAAAGGGTTCTTTGGTTTAAGATGTTGTTTAGCACGTAGGAAAAGTGAAACCGTCAATAATAGTTACACTAGTAATCATTTCTGTCACCTCAAGCATGACAAGCCTCGTAGATGGAGTAGGGGTTTTACTCAGACGTGAGCAACCAGTGCTACTTGCACAAACACAGGCAAGAGATTCACTAAGGAAATTGTAACCAGCAGTTCCAAAATTTTCACACTATGTCAAATTTCCCGCATAGCTTCACAAACTAGTTTTATTTCTATTGTCAGGGTTAGATTACCAGAACTGTTGCTGGCTCTGTCAACACTCATAGCAAATGGGTTGGAATAGGACAGTGGAGATGGAGACTTGGCATTTCAGGATTGCCTTACCTGCTAGGCTGTGGGTTATTCCAGGGCAGGTTGTCCTCAGGCTTCTCTGCTAGCGTTATTTTACTTCATATAAAAAAACCTGAACCACCAAGCGAGCAAGCAAGCCTAGGGATGAGGGCACTCTCCAGGCATGAATTTGAATCCTTAGCAGAAAGGGTTGTTACGAAAAGCTTTATTTTTCTCTTATTTTGGGAGCAATCAATTCAGTTCACTGCAGGCTGAATTGTAGTTCTTCACTGGTTCAGATAAAAGCCAAAGCAAAAAGAAAAGCTGGCTATTCAGACCAGCTCTGCTGCCAGGTTTTCAGACCAAGCTGACCGAAATGGAGTTTTCCAGGGTACAGTTCCTTTCCCAGGCAAGCTGGAGGTGACAGCATACTGGCTTCAGAATAACGTGACAGGCTTCAGGTAGTCTACTTGCCAAAACTTTTATGTCCCACATGTACCTGGCATGCACCACATGCCCTGTGCCAACACACTTTATTGCTGCGTGGAAAGGAGGGACCAGTGCTAAGCAGTCAAGCATCCCAGCTAGATAAAAGCATTCCACTGGCTGCTACAAGACTTTTCCTGGTGCAGCTTTGTAGCGTAGGCAAGGGCAAAGTGGCACAAGGCCATGGGGAGGTGTTTTGCTGACCTGCTTAATTTCGTAGCACCCTACCCTCCACCGTAGCCCACGCTTCCCACAACATCTGCAACACAATCAGACAAGTAAAAAGCGATAGAAAAGCTTTCTTTACATACTTTTTGAGAGTCAGAAAGACAAGGAGAAAGCATTTCCTTCACTCTCATAGAAAGAAAGAATTCAAGTCGACTTTCCTCACCTTACCTGCAGCATGTCTTGTTCATACCACGCCTAAACACAGTCCCGGTTCAGTCAGCAAAGAAAACCAGTATTAAGCCAAATACAGCTTAGGTCAAACTGGAGCACTGCATACTGGTTCTGTACTACAGATGAAGATGATAGCAATCAATTACCATTTCAAGAAAATCGGATGCAGACCTGAAGGTCTTGGGAGAAAGCTAATTTAGGTCTCTTGGCCAAAACTGAGGCAGCTGCAATGTCAATAGTAAGTACATTTTTACTGTGAGCTCTATTTAATTAAGACAGATTATGGCATACTATAGCATGCATATGCAGACATCTATATGTTTAATACCCCTTGTGATCTAAGGAGGTTCCTTCTTTCACGTGTTGTCAACCTAAAAGACAATTTCTCATGAGTTTCTCCATTGGAAATTTTCAATCATTGAGCAACAGCACTGGAAAGCAGAGGAAGACACTTACCCATCAATTCATTTCCTTTATTTCACAAGCTTTGAATTCAGAAATTGAACCACGACTAGTAGATCTTGATACGGTAGAGTAAGTAAAAATGCATGTGATTACAAAGGAAAAACTTTGTACAAAAAACTTTAAAAATCCGACGGCAACTTGGATTATCTGTAAGTACCAAAAATCTCATGCAGAAGGAGAGCACTACTGCCCGTGTGGAGAAATCCCTGCAGGGGTGACAATGGCATTGGTATGTATAAATTATGGCTCTGTCTAAAATGGAAACAAGAAGGACACAGACTTGGAACACAGTGAGTGGGAACAGACAGGTGCTACAGAGACCATTTGTCATTACGTGTCCCAACGATTTCTGTGTCTGAGAAGTGCGTCTTGGGTTTATAATAAATTAAAGATGAAACAGAAGCTGCCTATACTACTCTACTGCATACTTTCAAGATGGCCATTTTCTTCCTTCATAAGTGTTTTTGGTGGTGTTTCTCAAATACAGACATTAATCTTGGCGTTGTGTCTAGTCAATTGTTGGCAACGTGTTCTAAAAGGACTCACTCACAGAATGCAACTTGCATAAATAACTCAGTAACATGCATTAACTACTCTAATACAGCGAAAGGGTGCAAAGGAACCATCATTCAGTTACAAGACGAAGCTAAAACCTGTAGTCACTAAAGGGGCAATGGAAGCACCATGCTTTAAGGTGACTATGGCATGAAAGCACAATTGTGAGGCAAGTAGTTCCAAGCAAACACACCACACTATTATCACCTCTTCCTATACAAAAAAAAGAATGACATTTCGGTTTTTATTTCCATTAGTACCAAATAAAACTGTGGGTTCAATAACACAGATATTGAAGGGAACGGCCATTATTCCCATGATCCTTCATCCTTGTGTTTCTGTCCATCATCATTTTTCAGCCAAGACTGGTAATATTAGAGCGACCACCAGGAGGTGCCACGATGCGGTGGCCAGTACGGCGTGGGTTGTTGTCATCTATCTGAGCTCCTGCAACAACAGAAAATCAGGAAACAAACCTATGAAAAGGAAAAAACCAGCAGCGGTGAGATTTTACCTGGCTCGTTCCAGCTATGTGCCCCTCACACCACCATCAGCTGGTTTCTCTTGGGCAAGACCCCTGATTGAAGGGCTAAACAGACCTTCAAGGCACATTTCTGTGCCTAGCTCCAGTTGTCTTTAATGAGAAGTGTTGGATTAAATGTTTGGGATCAGAGTGATGCTCACCCTACATGGGGAATTGTTTTCCACTGACTTGAAGAAGAGCCCATGCAGGGAGGATAGCCTACAGACTGGGTTCCCTTCGCAAGATCAGACCCTGACAGAAAATATTGCTGTTATAACTATAAGAAAAAAAAAAATGTATGTGCAGAGTGGATTTTTCAGACCTGTCTCATTGACTTAGAATACCTGCCCCCACTGAGTCCATGGGTTAACAGTACAGTAAATCTGATGCTAGTGATCATAAATCCACGTGGAAAGTAGCATTGAGCTGATGTAAACGCACACCCACTTCAGACTGCATTTTAAAATGTTGAAATGGTAAGCATAAGGTGACAGCAAGCTTTCTGCTAGGCTAAATACTGTCTGACCACACTCAGCTTCCTAAAGGCAATGTAAGACTAGCATAAAAGTGTCGGATCGTTTCAAATGCTATCGTAGTCTCTGGTTCTGCTTAATTGCGTAAGAACACAGTAATGCATTTGCCTGATTCAGATCAAATGCGTACCACTAGATGCCTTGGTAGTACCGAGATCCAGCAGTGTACTGTGAAACCACAGTTTCAGATGTTTATGAAAATCCCACTTATCAGTTATTACTATTAGAGGTCAAATTTCTAAGCACTTTTTTTGCTTTATATAGCTTTACATATCTGTATGTGCTCACCGCGGCCCCAGGTGTATGGGCAAAAATATACTTCAACTCACTAGAAGGGTTTTTAAAATATTTGCTCTCCTTGCGCTTTCTTCCAGAATTTTCATTTCGTTTCTGAAGACAGGATCTGTCAGGGAGGAAAACTCCACCATCGGCTCCCACAGGGGAGAAAATCCAGTGACTTTCATAACATCATAAGGAGCCACTTATTTACGAATTGGGCTGTAGACTTTTGAAGGATAAGGATTTGACACACTTGTAGTTGTCTTCAGATGACAAGAATTATTTCCAGCCCCAAAGGATGATTTTCCAGTCTGTTTCTTATGTCCCATGGAAAACGTTTTGGGCACCAAGAGCAAAGAGGACAAGAAATACTCTAATCTGCATATGAATAGCTTCCGCACATGGTTTGCCGACCACGGACAAGGACAGTTGAGGTTTTCTATGTCTAGCAGTTTCTGGAGATGCAGCAAGAAAGAAATCTGAGATGTCTGAGCCACGTGGGTTGCACCAGACCCAAGTACCATCAGCCATACACACCACCAAGGGGCCTCAGTCACACCAACCAGAGACCTCAGCTAACTGTAACGGGCCAGGCAAATAATATTAAAAGACTGCATGCAGAGAAAAATTTAGATTGCAAACATTTTGAATATTTGGAAATTTGTAAACTATTGCCTAAATATAGGTATTTAGAGCCATGTATAAAAACATATATATACATACATATATATGTATGTAAGTATATGCATGTATGTGAGTATATATAATCCTTTCATATTTGATTAAAGAAGTAATTATAATTGAAATTTATCACCAATAATCCATACTCATGGCTTTAAAACATTTCTGATGAGTCAGGCTGACTTACCTGATAAGCTAAAATTGGATTGATGGAGGTTTCTGATTGGTGGGGGCTGGTTTTTGGCAGGGGAGGATTTAGTTGAGGGTGCAGGAGTTGCGTATTTTGGCGTAGCTGGGATTTCATACACAGGCCCATCATACATTCCTCTGGAGACTCCCTGCAGTCCTCCCACCTAGATCAAGGGAGGAATAAAAATCCAGACACTGAATGCTCTGATAATGCTCCCTAATGATACTCCTGCCTATATGCAGAGACCACTGAGCAGAACTATATTCTGCATAAGCTGAATTAAAAACACATCTATATTCTCGTCAAAGCCACAGTCTGCTTTATATATAAAGGAAATTATAAAGCTTCCTCCCTCCATTTTTATATATATAAAAATTGTAAGAGAGATCCTTATTAGGTTTCCTTCACAGTCAATGGGGAGAAATGGGATTCAAAAGAACAACAGGTCTGACCCAAGATGTTTACTTTAAGTAAAATCAGTCACCATCACCTCCTCTCTCTCCATTCAGAGGCTGTTTTTTTGGTTGGGTCAGCTGCTGAATCCCACTTGGGTTGTTTCAAGACTGGTACCCACTATACTGATTGCAGCAATTTCACTCCTACATGTATTTTCTCTGCTCCTCTCCTTCACATATCTCCTTATCTTCGTTAGAACTCATTGAAAAGTGGTGGCAATTTTTAAATTAAAATTTCAAAAGTTTCCACTTCTTGTCATCAAAAGCAATTATAAGCTAGACTGGCATGGGACCCATCTTTGATTATTTGTCAATAATGTATCTGTCATTTGAGCTCTGATTACAGTTTGAGGTCTCTAGATTATATCCCTGTACAGTTCCTATAAGGAATATGAGAAAAGGCAATGAAAACAGCCTCACTGGCCTTAAAATCACAGGAATCTAGGAAATAATATTTTTAAAAAACAGTTCCAATTTTCAGAAAGAGCCTGAAGCCATTGAATCGCAGAATCCAAAGCTCATCAAAAAGATCAGAAATCCGTGGCTTACAAGATTATTGTTTCAGAGCCATTTCCCCAACAGGTTAACAGTAAAATTAAAATACCGTATAGGAAAGACACTATTCACAGGGGTTTCATCCAGCTCTTACAGAAATCAATGCCTTTTCCTTGCTTTCGGTGACAGGGACATCAGGCTCAGAAGAGCCACCGTCTCTCAGGCTGAGCCAAAACTACTGCCCAGAAGAGAGCAGCTGCCGATCACAGCAACGAATCCATCTTCCAGGGACCCACAAAGGCAGGAATTTATACTGCTATCCCTGCTCCAGGGATAAATTTATACTGCTATCCTGTGCCAGTTACAGCTTTGCAGCCCCTCGTTTGACATGTTTTTTCTATATTCCTTTGTCATGCACTGACACATTCATATGGTGGCTGATACAACCATCATAGGGTTTTTCTGAATATTTCCAATCGATAAAGTTCGATAGTGGGAAAAGAAACGCAGACGTGAATCTGCTCTCCCTTCCTCTCGGCAGGCAGCAGAGGGGGCTGCAAGTGCAAAAATAGCAGTCCCTTCGTCCTTCTGCAGACCTTTCCTAAGTATCTAAAATCAAAGGTCTTTCCCAAAATCCAGGCCTGCCTGCAAGACGCAGGTTTCTTAGCCCAGTTACTTTTTTGTGCAAATTCCTGGTGTAAGACACCACTCTCTGATACTTGTTTTTAAAGTGTTGTTTTCAGTATTTAAATGACATCGTCACTAATTTATACAGCACTCTCTTGTGCTAAACCCTTGAGAGGCGAGTGTGAAGAGAACACCCATGTCATCTAAATGGATAATGTAAAAAAAGTGCAATACTGATTGGTATTTTGCAAAGCTTTTTCAGGTACATTTGATTTTTACAGTGCCTTTTCTCATTAGAAGTGCAGGCCTTTTGCATCCCACAGCTTGACAGAATTTGTATAACAAATGATGAAAGATAAAAACTATCCACCTGCTCATAGACTTAATTTCAGCTGCCATCCTCACAGGCTATGATATATGCTTGGTTGAAGAAAATACGAGTTTTAGTCAATTTGTCTTGTTACTTGTCCTCACATAGTGACTTTCTTGCTCAGTGGCAAGAAGCAATTTCCAAATAACCCCGAACTAGTGCCAAACCAATTGGTTTTCAACAGAGGAGCACTGATATAATCCAAAACCAGAAGTGACCCAGTCTTAAATTTGGTCCTTTCCCAAGCGTTTTATTAAACACAGGAGAAAAGTTTTCTGAGCCGTGAATGCTGCTAATACTCAGCTCAGCAAATGCACCAACTGTTGCATTCAGAGGTGCCAAATATGAGTACCTCTGGCTTACACGCTTTTCTTCTCTGCAGTGTGGCAGTTCAGTATGCAAAGCTCAGTAACAATTTAAAATTCTGTTTTTCTTCTGGCTAACCCTCTTCCCAAAGAAGCTTTATCTTTTTCCTGAATTTTAACTAGAAGTAAATTCTATCACTATTCCACCTCCCTTCAAAAGCCTGCACAGCTGGACATAAGGCAATTATGCCCAACTGGCAATTATATGCTCTTCCCACTGAAGCTCACGGTGTTAATTAAGTTAATCAGTTCACACTTGCAGAGGAACCAGTTTTGTGGTCATTTTTTGAACAAGTCATATATAGTCCACCTGATACGGACTCATATTAGCACAAGAATAATAATAAAAAACATGGCTAGAAAGAAGATGAAATAATATTTGGTGTTACCTTATTCCTGATTTTGATGCGCTGGTAAAGATATTCAGGGAAAGGTTTGCGAGGGATGAAGCGGCCCATTCCCTTATTTACGTGCAGATTTCCATCTTCAAACACAATCTTCCCTTGGCTTATGACCACAAGAGGGGCACCATGGCACTCCATTCCTTCAAAGATGTTGTACTCAACGGCCTGAGGATCAACCAACATATTCACTGCAAGTTCGGTACAAGATCTCTTTCAGTTAGTAACTTATAATCTGTACTTGTAGTCATAGTTTTAGACAACTGCCATTAAGAGGTGTATAAAGTTGTTTTGTCTGAAGGAAAAGCAATGCATTTCGATACAATATGATTTTAAATAATCTCTCTGATCAGACTTTTCCTTTCCATTTCTCACTTTCCATCAAGGCTTTATCTCATTTGTTTTTGAGGACTTTCCATATTTATCCAGAGCCTCTAGAAGTATGATAGCCTTAATAAGAAGGAAAATTGTGACTGAGCTGCCAGATACCCAGAGGACATGGTCCCACCATGCATCTCCTGTGACTGTGTAAGAGAATTTCAAAGGGGCCAGCACACATTCTTCTGCCAGAAAAAGCCCAGAAAGGACCAGGAAAGCCAGAATCTACATGGGAATGACTGTCAAAGGCAGGTGATTATTCCTTTCTTGAAAATACAGAGAGATCCCAAGATGGAGAAATAGAAACTGAATCACCTAAACTTACTTTTTCAAGGTTTCTAAAGGTTTTTGCCTTTTTAATATAAACCACATTACAGGATTTCCAGTACAACTTTTGGAAGAATTCCGCAATATAAAAGACCAAAGCATTGAACAATAAGATTACAACTTCGAGATAGACAACACGTAAGATAAAACCTGTCACAGTCAAAATCGAAGCGACTGTGAATCACTGGTACTCTGCACTAAGGGCAGCGAAGTATGCGGCAATGCTTTGGAATTAAATAGAAAATCCCAGCTGTGAAGCTGATCAGAGGTGTATTATCAAAATGTTTAATAATGTCTCATAGTTTAGAATATTGTTGATTTAATCATGCAATTTATAGTATCAGGTAAGCAAAAAAAAACATGAGCTGGTTTTAAATTTATCATCACAGCTTTACTAATCTCAGCTTCTGATTCACACCTGTTTACAGATCTGCCACAAGCATGCAAAAAATAGTGCACTGGTATATGCAGAGAGAAAAGAAATCCTTCCTGATCCCAGTGCTTCCAATGCAAGATTTCCATACTTTCATCTCCTGAAACATTTACGCATTTCAGAATAGGAGTAGGCAGTTACCCCACTCCTCTATATCCTGAGCATTTGGTGTTGACATGAATTAGGTCAACAGTTGAAAAGCAACAGTGACATTTCTTTTTTCTTGCTGGTTTTCCTTTTCTCCTTACCGATTTATGGCTTTTAGCTGTTACAGTCTTCACCTTATCAGGGTCCCAAATAACAACATCAGCATCCGATCCTACAGCAATCCGGCCTTTTCTTGGATACAGATTAAAGATTTTGGCAGCATTGGTGCTGGTGACAGCTACAAACTGGCTCTCATCCATCTTGCCTGTGGCCTAAAAACAACGTGATTTGAGCAAAACACGCTTATAAAATGGGGATTTACTATTCAGAGTACTGAACGGTCAGGGAGATATTGGAAAGCATGTAGTTCACATATGTGGTAATGTTGCATGAAACAAGAGATTTTCTCAAGCAGGCCTTTATACAAAGCACGTTACTTGGGAGTTTCAAATAAATGAATGTGTTACTCCTGGCATCCCAAAGAACAGCCAATAAAACCTCAATGCGGATGACACCATCAAGTTGCTCAGTTATCTAAGGTCCCTTTTGCTACACACTGATGTCTAAGTGTGTTTTGTTGCTAGTCCTAGCAATTTCCATTTAAATGTTTTAACAATTTTAAAACAGAGAAACTTATGAGAGTATTACGACATTAAATAAAAGAACAAGATTCATACTCTTCTAGAAACATTTCTTGCAAATTACGTCCATTCGACTATTAATATTACCAAACCTATACATCAAGGTAATACAACCCCAATTATAAAGTCCTTGCCTGGAGAAATGAAACTTTTTATACAATCAGTGATGGCTTAATAGCAGCTGTACACAACAGCATTTTGATTTCTCAATAGAGTATTCTGGGGTCTTCCCTGGCAATAAGCAAGAACAATGTTCCAAGGAAGAACAACAGTGCCAAGCTTTCTAATATTAAATGAACACATTTCCTGCCTGGTAAAACATGAGATTTGCAAAATATAAGCTACTCAGTGGTGCAGGACTGAATGTTACCACCTGTAAATTCCATGTTACAGCCCTTGCTGCAGCTTCTTCCCTTTGCGGGAGTAATAAAAGAGAAATATCACTGGCTGGCTGCACTTTGCTTGCTTCCCTGCTCTGTTCCTATGTGGCAGCTACCTGAAGCTGCTTCTGTGCTTGGAATCTCAATAGCAGTCCCTGAAGAAAGTGGTTATTAAACATAGTCTGGGAGAAGTACTCATGAGAGCATTGTAAATACTACCACTTCCCAGTTTGCAATATGCATTCGAGCACAATGCAATATAAGGTAATGAGTGTGTGTGTGTGTGTGCGCGCGCATGGGTGTGTATATGAAGACGGACAATGGAGGGAGAATATCATTATATATTAGGATCCATGGAACCATCAAAAAATTGCTAACTTATACCGGCACTCCATCGCAAAATATGCCAGTATAAATTACATGCAATGTTCTCCTTTAAAGCATTTTATCGTCTAGCCTCAGGCTCAGCTGCCATCCATTTGTAATTTCTCAAAAATGATGAGACACTTCACAAATTCAAACAATCCATTCATCACGTTTATATGGGGTCCACTTCAAAATCATTAAACTACTCCAGATCCTACATCTCTGAGAAGCATCCACTCTGACACAACTGGAAAATTGAGCGGTGGAGTCTGTGAAGCCTCAGGTCTAATAAAACATGATGGTGTTGCAGTGTCAAAAGTGAAACACAGCCCTGAGTTTATAAAACTGGAGAAGGTTTTTGAAATAAACAATTCACCTCGTAGTAGCACTCCCTCAGGGAATTCTCAGAAATATATTAGAAAGTCACTTAAGTACTGGCCAAGAGCCTCCTGGCTTTCATTATTCAGCCAACACTCAATTTCTTTTTAGTCCATAAAAGTAAGTAATTACTTACTACAGCCTTGTCCCAGACAACAGTCATTCTTTCCTCAATTCCATTGACCCCTTCAGGAATCATAGTGAAGTTGTCCTTTCCAATGGCTTTCTGGGCAGTGCTATATGGGCAATGTCCACTTCCCGTCACCTGCAGGTCCCCACTGTGGAGTTAACACACAGAAGGTTTAGACCAGGCACCACCAAGGTTACCTTGGTCTCAAACTAACTGTAAATGGACCTTTCAAGCCTACACACCAGAGGCATAGGCTGTAAATCATGTCAGCAGCCTTTACGTGTTGGCTACAGATCACTGAAGAGCGACAATGGCATTGGACATCTCCACTTTCCCCCAGGAGCACCCTGAACTCCCCGATTACAGCCCCCTCGGGTTTCAGGCTGCTTATCGACAGAGATCAGGCACAAGCCCACGAACCAGGACAAAGGATTACTCTAGGATTAAGGAAATGATCGGAAGCTTGTATGAAATGTCTGCTACTCAAGCTAAATTAATTCACAACCATGTTGAAAAATAATGGCAAATTTTACAATGCAAAGTCATGAGCATCAAGCTTGTTTCCCTGCATTTCTCCCCTGCACATACATTTTTCTTGCAATTCTTACACAAATATTTCTTGTCTGACCTTCCAAAACAGAACCATGAAAATAAAAAAGGAAGGGAAGTTTTTTATCAGGTAGTCGTCTAATTAAACAAAGAAAGGCATAGTGCAGGTCAAACATGTGCTCTGGATTTATCTAACTTAAAGGTCTTACACAGAAAAAGGCATGGAGTAAACCACAAAAAGAGCTAAATAATGCCTTTATTCAAGGAGTCGTCTTTTCAGCCTAGAGAAATTTTTTTTGCAGAGAGCAGAACTGGATCACAGCTGCTCTCGGGAATAAGGAGGAAGAACATAACCAATACGCAGAATCTTGCAAAAATAGAAAGACAAAAAAGAAGATAAGTTCTTCAATATCCACAGAAAACAGGTGATATTTTTAGGTCTTGATTAAGCTTACAGGAGTCAAGCACATTGAAACACATTACGATTTCTCTTCTATCACTCAGAAGGACGATGTCCCCAGGAGCCTGTCATCCTTTTCTTTAATTGATTATGTAAGTTCCAGTTCTGAAACATCTGAATGATTCTGGTCCACAAATTTAGACTCCAACAAGCTAACAAATAGCCATGTACAGAAGAAAAAAGTGTCACACATCAGTAATTCTAATGCAATTTTCTGGGCTGCCAGCCCTAATGATTGCTGACAGTTAGAGAAGAACCTTTGGCCTCTTTTCTGGTTCTTCACCATGCTCCCATCCATCCATTTTTTAGCAGAAGCCAAACCCATGTATTTTATAGTGAAAAGACAGCTATGTTTCAGCTATTCCTGATTATTAATGACTGCCTGGTGTTACTCCATAGGATTAAACCAAATCCATCAGTTAAACATTCATTTATTCTAACACAACAATGAAGTCAGAAGATTGCAATGCTATTTCTTCCTTTTTGTTGCTCTGCTGCCAGCTAAGCTTCTTGTGGCTTACCGTCTCTCTCTTTTCTGCACTCTGATGAATACAACCATGAAAACATGAATGTCACAGCCAGGCCCTGTACCACTGCCCATTCCCCTGAGGTTATGTTGCACTTCTTACACCACGCTCTTAATTCCTACACCTGAAAGATAAAAAGGCATTGCTTCTTCTGAACTCTGTTTTCCCTCTCCTCTGATATTTTATGACATTTAATGACATGCACTGCACTCCCCAGTCTAATCAACAGAAGACTTCTGAAGCTGAAGCATGTCACTCGAGAGCTGCCCAACAACTCCTGGTTAACCACAGGGCACTCCTCCTGTTTAGATATACTCTACTGTCAAATGGGGGATGAGCATCAGATCAACTACAAAACTGAGAGACAAGGGATCACCACGGAAAACATCTCCAAAATAGGGAGTGGTGGGAATTAATAGTGGACATACGTGTATCTTTAAATGCCACATCAATACCTTGACATCTTACTCTTCACCATAAACGAGGTTTTCACGGCAGGTTACATCTTCCGTGAAGCACCAAGATCTCACATTTCTAGTTCGGAAGAGACAGCATATCACAGCAGCAATAATGCAGCAGTACACCATGGAAGATGAAAGCCACCTCAGGTGCATGGCCCACAGATGAAACAAGGACCAAATCTCACAAGGCAAATCCAATCTGCAAACCCCATGAGACATGCTGGATTTTTATACATTCAGCTTTGCAGTGAAAAATCAACACTTTCTGTGGAAAACAGCACAAGCAGTATGCTGCATACTTGCAGAGGAAGAATGTTGTAAGGATTTTTTAATGAATGTAAAATACTTGTCTCCTAACGAACAGTGCAATAGAAAAGTGAAAACTGTCTTTACCATCATCCCTGCATAACATTCCCCACAAATGCATGGCAGACTGATAAAATACACAGTTCTTTTTTTTGTTTCACCGTATAGATTTACAGTATTAAAACTGAAAGCAGGCTAAGCTGCTGTCATTTAAGATCTAGGACTTTAAGCCACTAGAAGAAAAAAGCCATTTTTGCATGCTTGGAGGATAAAGAAAACTTCTGTGACTCCTCCGTTTGTCTTTCTGATGTTAGTGTTAAAAAAAGTCATTATTTGGATTCCAGTTCTAAAAATTCTCTTGCTATTTTAACTAATCTTTTGACCTACATACTATTATTTTGGGACTCTCTTCTAGAAAACGTATAGCCATGTCTGATAGAGTAAAGAGCCAAACACTTTGATACACATTCACATGTGCTGGCTAAGAGCCTTACCCTCACACAATGAGTTTCACTCTTTACAGTGCTGATAGTGACAGATCAGACCAGAAAAGCAATTTTTCTTCCGTGTTCTTATTTTAAGGAACAGAAAGCTCAATTATAGAAAATCATTTCTGTCATCAGACCGTCACAACAGAACAAATTGCTTCATATTCTTACTAGAACCGCATGTAACTCAGAGCTCAACTGTGCATTCACTAGTAGTGCTGTCCGTGCAGCATCATTAGGGCAGCCGAGTTAAAACCTGGGTTTGGTGGACTGCACAGCCTGACCCGCCGTGTGCAAGGAGAGATGCGTGCATACTGCAGCAGTGGCATTGATTGATGGCAGCTTCCCATCACATATATGTGCCCATCCACCTAAGGGGCAGCTCTGCCCAAGCCTGAATTACACACGCAGGGGCCTTGTATTACCAGCCACACTGGCACTGCCTGCCATACAGCCTGCCAGTTAGTCATGTGCAAAACTAACCTCGGGAGGAAACGTTTTCTGAAGACCAATGGGTCACTTTTAGGGTTCAAATTCTACTGTTCTGTCTAGAGCATTGGAAACCCTAGAAAGGGGAGGCAGCAGGTGAGATGAGTGCCACCACATGGCGTTAAATAAGGTTTGAGTTCCTCATTCCAGCACTAGCACTAGCAATCTGTCCTGGTGGGACTTCCCAGCTGTGAATTTCCATATCATTTCAAAGCAGATGGTCTTGTGCTTAAACTAAAGAAGACCCACAGTTGGCTACAGGCAGGAAATACTTTCAGGGATGGGTTTACAGTCTGGGTTGCTGGCAAGGCATTGCTGATGTCTTCTTTTCTATATGAGAAAGACACTTCTCCCTCTGCTGTCCACATTCCTTTCACCTCTCTAGTGATAACCCTCTCCCTGCCAACCTGAAGACAGTCAGCCCATACCCCTATCCTGTCAAGTGGTGGCCTCCAGTCACCAGCCTGTCTCCACCTGAGCCCCTGACAGTCTCCTTTGTAATCCATTCTGGCCTTTCTCCTGCCTGACATACCTTCTCTATACATACCACTGTCTTCCAGCTTGAGGACCCTGGAACCTATAAAGACACAAGGCAAGCTAAAAGTAAAAACAAGGCTGCAAGACCTAAACACAAGTAAACTTCTATGATTTTGGTCCATCCCAGCTGAAGGCAAACTACCAAGTCAGAAGTTTTTAATATACAGGAGCTAAAACCACTAAACTCTGCTACAAACACTTACAATTTAGTTTAGGACAGCCTAATTCTCAAAAGTGCTCAAGGCTCCACACCAGCTTTGACAAAAACTGCACCAGGAAAGTTTTTGTGGTTCTAGGTATCTCTGTGTCCTGGTTTCAGCTGGGACAGGGTTAAATTTCTTGCTAGTGCTGTGTTTTGGATTTAGTATGAGGAGAATGTTGATAACACACTGATATTTTCAGTTGTTGCTAAGTGCCCTCCTAGTCCAAGGACAGCTCCCATGCCTACTGACTGAGCTAGGTACACAAGATGGGAGGGAACATAATCAGGACAGCCAGCTCAGCTGGCTAATGGGGTATTCCATACCATGTGACGTCATGCTCAGTATATGAATGGTAGGCGTGATCCAGGAAGTACCGATCGCTACCTGGTTATCGGTCAGCGCGGGTGGTGAGCAATTGCATTGTGCATCACTTATTTTGTATATTTTATCATTATCAGTATTATTTTCCCTTTTCTGTTCTATTAAACTGTCTTTATCTCAACTCACGAGTTTTTCTCACTCTTACCCTTCCGATTCTCTCCCCGTCCCACTGGGGGGGGTGGGGA